CAATAGACCAAGGCGTAATTGAGATACCAACATCGAAATCATACAAACCTTTTGAAAAATTAAAATTAACAATCGAGCAAGGGATAGAAAAACTCCTTAGGTCCTTAAGCTTTGGTGGAAGCTTGTCTTGGATTATTGCACTACACTCCTCAATGAGTGTAATTGTCTTAAAGTCCTCAAGTTTCCTTTTCTTTGTCAATATGTCCTTTAAAAACTGCACATATGATGGCATTTTCTCTAAAGTTTCTACAAAAAGAATGTTGATGTAAAGCTTTTTGAATACCTCAAGATATTTTTGGAAATGGTTATCAAGCTTTTGTTTTTGAAGGTGCTGAGAAAAGGGTGGTGCTGGTGGTAAAGTTGTCTTTACTTCCTTCTTTTGACTTTTCTTGTCACTTGTCTCAATTATCGTTTTATTCTGAACTAGCACATCTTGAAAATTAGCTTGCCTAACACTATGTTCAACCTTTTTTCCGCTCATCAAGGTGATTGCCATAACTTGTTCCCTACCTTCTCTCTATGGATTCACCTCTATATCACTGAGCAATGTTCCTGGAGGTAGATTCTTCAATAAATTAGCAAGTTGACCAACCTAAGTCTTAAGGTTTCGAATTGATGCTTTTTAACTTTGAATGACAGTTGTTTGACTTTGTATAATGCTATCATTCTGTGTCATGTATTGGCATAGTAAATCTTCCACAAATTGCTTTCTTTTTGAAGTAGGTGAATCAGTTTACTGGTGAAATCTTAGAGGTGCATTTGGCCTTGGAGTTGAAGATGAACCTTGATTATTAGCCCAAGAGAAATCAGGATGATTCCTCTACCTTAAGTTATAAGTGTTGGAGTAGAGATTATTTTGCTGTCTATTACCCATAAATTGCGCCCCCTCTGTTAAGCTTGGACATTAATGACTTGCATGATTATTTCCACATAACTTATAAGCTACGAAGGAACTTTGCAAACTATTAGTACCAAAAGATTCATGAGTTTTAGTTAAAGTTGCTACCTGAGTGGATAATGTTGTCATAGCATCACCATCATGAATTCCAGTTATTCTCTTATGCATTGCTCGTTTTGTTGGCCACTGGTATCTATTTACAGCCATCTCCTCCAACAAATCGTATGCCTCATCAATTGATTTTACCATTAAAGCTCTTCTCGCAATGGCATCAATGGTGGTTCGAACTTGCCCACTCAAACCATTATAAAAAATCTGCACCTAAAGCCACTGTAGGAGACCATGATGAGGCAACGTTGAAGTAGTTTTTTGCATCTTTCCCAAGCTTCAGACAACGATTCAGAATCTATCTGTATGAATGATATAATGTCATTCCTCATTTTTGCTGTCTTAGTCGGAGGGCAGAATTTGGTAAGGAATTTCTAAGCAAGATCATCGTATGTTGTTATGAAGCTAGTGAAGAGTGCATTTAGTCAAGCCTTAGGTTTATCCCTTAAAGAGAAGGGAAAAAGCCTCAACCAAATTACATCATCTATGACACCATTGTGTTTGAACTTACCACATATCTCCAAGAAGTTTGACATATGGCGATTAGAATTTTCACTTGAAAGACCCCTAAATTGAATCGATGTTTGAATCATGGTGATAATAGTTGGCTTGATTTCAAAATTGTTTGCTTGAATAGCTGGCCTTTGAATGCTTGATGAAATTTTTTGTACCAAAAGAATAACATAATCCCTTAAGCAATGATTATTAGCTACTACATGCTCTTGGATCTGCTATTCACCTTATTGATCAGCCATTGTATTTATTGGAGTAACAACTTGTTGATTACCTCGTAGAAGTCTATGAAATGTTTGCTTAATTTCAAGATCACATGAGATATTCTCCAAGTTGTTTGCTTTTCTCATACAACAGTTGAATACAACTGCCAAACAAAGAAATAAAACTTAAATTAAGACTAATTTGAAAAATTTTAATATTAGCAAATAACAAAGAAAACAAAATCCCTAGTAATGGCACCAAAAACTTGTTGTCGATTTTGCACACGTAAGTATATGTATCGAATGAGTAATATAATGATAAAGTAGAGTATCGTTCCCACAGAGATTTGTTTCAAAACTTTCACTAAGTACTAAAATTATATAATAAATTAATCTTATTTAAGTAATCCAAAAATTGAAGAAAAACTAATTAGAAACAATTAAAAATCAACACTAAATAAACTAACAAACTAAATAAGTTGAGAAATCCAGTATATTAAAGACCTAGGATTATGGGTTCATTCAACATTTCATCTGAGACAAGCTTTTCTTATTATTTATATTTCTTGGGTGGTTTTACTAACTTAGAATCCAAAGCTATGAACAAGTCTCCATCAAGTTGCTTGTACAAAAACCTAACTTAATTAGTTCACTATATGTCTATAGGAATCAATTAAATTAAGTTCATTAAGAAAGTGTCTTAATGTGGCTATGTATGGCAATTGGCGTATGTTTACCAAAATCGCAAATCAAATCACTGAAGTGACATGAACATAAACTATTTAAACCTTAATCCAATCTAAAATCTCTCTGTCAAGTCTCAATTAGATTCACAAATCAGTTAATTGTTAGCTAGACAATCAAAAGCATTAAGAACATATTTAAATAAATGAAACTACACCCATTCATGATAAATAAAAGAGAAATTAATATTCAAACTACATGTTGAAATCCACTACAATCTTAGAAAGATAATTTACCTTATAATATGTAATAAAAATAATATCCAAAAAAATCTAGCCATAAATCCAAGTCAAAGAAAATAAAAGAAACACAAAAGTAGAGAAAGAACCTAAGTGTTGAAGCTTTACAATCTAAATTTTCTCTCAAATTCTTTTGTTTTCTTGCTTTGTTCTTGGCTCCAAATCTCCAAAATAATTGGTTGCTACCTCCCCCTTAAAACCTTTGAAAAAGGTTATTTAAATATGCTGTAAGTAATTTAATTTCCAAAATCCCGTCAAATTTTTATTTTTGGAAAATTGACTAGTACTATGGTCATGATTTCTTGGCACTACAGCATTAGTTTTTTTGCTATAGTAGCGCTGCAACACTAAGCTCTTGGGAAAATTGTATGGTGAGCTTCCTTTCACTAGCGCTGTAGCCTTGTTTTCCCATTGCTACAGTGATCTATTAAATTTGAGCATGATTTTGTCCCTAAGCCACACTAAACTAAAAGTGGTAAATATAATAGTTGTATCCCTATCTCTTAACTTTCAAATGGTTTAAGAATCATGTCAATTGGACTTCTGGATTAAAAGATATGCTCCAAATATTATATCATGTTCAGTCTATAAGTACTGCTGTAGTGCTTTGAGTTAGACAAATATTTTGACTATGATCTAATCCAAACTAGATGAAATGTAAATATAAAAGTAGTATCCCTTCCTCTTGGAAGTCTAATGGTCTAAGCATCATTTCATTTGGAGTTCTACAGATAGAGATATGGTCAAAATACCATAATATATACGAATGAAGTCATTACCATACTTGCATGAATTTTCATCAAATGACTCTTTTGCATCAAGTTTCCTATAAAAGCAATAAGAGAAATTAGCAATACCACTCTTAAAGTAATTTAAAACAAAATAGCATAAAATTTAACTAAAAGAAGTTAAATTAACTACTTAACATGTAATCAAACTTAAACTTGAAAAATACCTAAAATGCTACGATTTGAACCTAAAATATCAAAGATCTAACTATTTAAGCCCCAAAATGTGTCAAATAACTTTATACAATAGAGTTATCACCTTTCAGTGTAATATGGTTCTTTCATCAAATATCTCGAATATGTCATTAAGCATGGCTAGATGTCTACTTATAACATTCTATATTAGTTATCATAATTCATAATTAACCTTATGAATTTAGGAAACTAACTTTTCTCAAATTCATCATACTTTGGCTAAAGACTTTATACAAGTTAATCAAGAATTGAGAACAAGTGAGATACATCCCCTCATATTACTTAGGGTGATGAATCCTCTCTTAATCACTCATTCACCTTCTCATGCTTCTTGGCATATCCAAAAACACCATGTTTAGGCATCTGATCGCTTCCAAACTCGTAAAGGTAAAATCAAAGTATGTCATTCCCCATACAAGATGATCTAGTGTCTCAAGTCTGAGGACTAGTTGCACAAATATCACATGAGAACATATTTCATAGACACTTGAGTGAAATATCAAATAAAGTTCTCATAGTAGGTCATGTTCAACGAACTTGTTCTTTAATAAGTACTCACATGTTATCCTAAAGGATCCTATATACTTCAATTTATGTTATTGAATTCTTACTTTTCAAGTAAAGAAGCTTAACATGTACTAGTCTTTAAGTATTGTCTTGACAATATAATGACTAGGAATAATTTTAAAAATATGATTTTGATGCATAGTGATATCATAATTATAACAATTTTATAATTCTCTTGTAAAGTTTTTATGTTTCATAAGCTTCATCAAATTAGTACTTAATAACTCCTTATTATTGCACTAACATTAAAGAAAACTTCTATCACATATAGTTATGTGATTAAATATATATTAAATGATAATATACATTCTTTGACTAATCTAATTGGTTCAAGGGTGTATATCAACAAATATCTTTCCCACATATAATAGTGCTATTAAACTTAAATTTGTTTTGTAGATTCGAATCTATTATTTTCAATGAACTTAAGTCAAGAATAAAAACTCATTACAAAACATAATTCACCAAAGTGATTAATCATATTTAAATAAAAAAATTAATAAAAATTTTTCGTATTGAGATTTCAAACTCACTCGTTATAAAATGGTAATCAGCAAAAATAGAATGAATAAAATATTCTTTGGTCCAAAAATACTATAAGAAAGTACTTTCGACAAGGAAAAAAAAAGTCTAGATCCTCTAGTTTTCATTTTGGATCCATTGGAAACGTCTGTTTATTATTTTTATTAATTAATTTTAAAAGCAAACGCGTGGAGTAAAAGGTCAAGATAACCATTTACCCAGTCCAACTATCAATCAGTCCATCATGAAAGAAACGAACCAACGGTGCCTTGACTTTCACAGCTCCATAATAACAATCCTCCTCTTTGCTCCAACTCCACTTCTCTTATCGTTCACACAAAATTAAAATTCCAAAAGAAGAAAGAAGGGGGAAGAAACGATGGTGATCTCAAGCACCGATCCCGCCGCGGAACAGCAGGTTTACATCAGTACTTTTGCTTCCAGATATGTCCGTCAGTCTCTTCCTAGGTACTTCTTTATCTTCTTTAATTTGTTTGTTTGGGGCAACTTCTTCCTTCCTTGTGGACACTGCTCATCGTTTTGGTGTGTCTTCCGTAAGCAACGAGTTCAAACTCAGCGTTTTCCCCTTAATTTCCTCTGCAAAAATATCTAATTCTAGTATATAATTTTTGAGTAGAAAGAATGGCAAGATACAAGTTGACAATGAATACAAACTCTCAGCACTTTCCCCTTTAATGTATGAGTAATGGATCACAATGACTTATTTACCCTTCTTTGCAATATTAGAATTTCATTTTAGCCCAGTGGGGGCCGGATGGTCTGATTTCATGCCGTATCCGCCCCGATAATGGTCAACTTGTGGCTTGTCTGTCCTTCACACGTTAGATCCGGCCCCTTTGTTGATCATCCTCTCCTTCTTTCTCTCTTCAAAATCCGGGAAAGAAGATAGATTTATTTTTTTTTTGTGGGGTCAAATCATTATTTATTATATCATAAATTCAAAATTTTTAAATCTTAATTCTTTTAAATTTTTAATTTCACGTAACATCATAGCAGATTATGATCAAAGTTGATTAAATTAAGTTGCATGATTTAATATCAAATATATATATAGTTTGTAAAATTAATGCTTATTAATACACTAGGAAACACTTGACCTGAATTTATTACTTCAATAACTAATAATTTATATTATTAAGTTTTAAATTAATGAAATGTTGTATAGATAACGTTAATTGGGTCGGATTCGGGCTTAACTTCTAAAGATAAGGAGCTTGATAAGCCTAGCACAACCCTTTGCCATGGACAACTTTTGATGATTGAATATTCCCAATTCTAATAATGGAAATGTATTAATTAGAGCATAACTGTTTTTATATATAACTATACAGGGTTTATATTTGATGCCTTATTGGTGTACATTATCACTTAATTAAATGGTGTCATTTCATAAATAACTATTTTTAAAATTATGAGTATTTGTTTTTGAGAGTTTCTACCTTTTATATTTTATTTATAAATAAAGTGATAATATTTGATACACTGATACTGTATAGAATCTATACGCATGTAGTGTCTCAAATATAAATTCAATTAATATATAATTATTTTCAATTTCTGCTTATTATATCAAATAATAAATGTTCTTTACATTTCAAAATGATTTTAAGAATAAAGTATTGTGTGTCATATTTTATATGTTTCACTAATCAAGTGAATTAAAAGCTTGAAGAGTCCACTTAAATTAAATATTTCTATGAAAGGCAGCCTTAAACTATTTCATATTTTGTTAAGTACTTTTAAATTTTAATTAGATAAATCAATTTTATGAATGAAAAATAATTTCAAGAAAATTAAATGTTTTCATGCAATTTCCAATATCAGAAAGACATTTCTTGTTTTTTTATATTTGGGGAAGAGGAGTCGAATTCTACTCTTTTTGAGAGGGAGATCATGTGCTAAGTAATGAACCAAATACTTGGGTGCAAAAGACATTTCTCCTTTATATATATATATATATATATATATATACTATAAAATATATCATAAAGTAAATATTTCACTTGTGTTCATGTAAAATTAAATATTAATTGTTTTTACTTTTTTGCGAGTTTAGAATCGATAATGTTTTCTTTAAATGAATATTCTTTGGTAATCTCTTTGCATACACCAAATTACTTTTTTCAATATGAAAATTTTAAATAATAAATTAATTTGTCTTAAAAATGAATTAATTTGTCTCTCACTTTTTAAAGATGATGTGGCAATGGATCCTTTAAGAGTTTAACAGTTGACTAACATATACAGTTGACAGTTTAAAATAACTAAGGTACTAATAATAAAGTTATCGAAGATAAAGTTGCCTTTTTTATCCAATGCAATGTAGTCAAATTTTGATGTCATGGATGGATGCAGATTCAAGATGCCAAACAGTTCAATGCCCAAGGAAGCAGCATATCAAATAATAAATGATGAATTGATGCTTGATGGAAATCCAAGGTTGAACTTGGCATCATTTGTGACCACATGGATGGAGCCTGAGTGTGACCAACTCATGTTGGCTGCAATAAATAAGAATTATGTTGACATGGATGAATACCCTGTTACCACTGAGCTCCAGGTACTTCTCTTGTTTGCTGATGAAAAGCAAAAAAAATTGTCTCTCTAAGCGTAGCATATCAGAATATGGTACAGTAATTGATTTCACCTCATCCCTTATGTGCTGATTCGAAAGATAGTTATCAAACAGATACCGCTGTGTCTCACCAATGCAGATTCCTAGGACAAGGGAGATTGTAGCTCTCAAACATAGCAGTTTTGCAGCTTTGAGATAGGCTGTTACAGAATGTTGGCCTTGATAGTGAAACTTCTGGTTTTTGTATTGAAAATGATAAAGGTCATAGCAACACCAACACAAGTAAGCATAAGTTCAAAAGCAAGTCAAGGGAACTAGTGAAGAATATAGTCTTCTAGGATTGTTGGTGTTTGTTCGGTTTTAGTTGTTTCCATAAGGGGTAAAAATAAGAAAGGAAACTAGAATCAGAGAACAATGCTAATTCCATTAGGAAGAGTTAGTTTGCCTTAACCTTTTTTATTTTAGTTACTTTGAATATAATGTGCCAAAGTTTTATCAAAGCGCTTCACTACTATTTTAGCATATTGTTTGAAATCTTGCCAACTGAGTCCTAAATTTAAAAACCATTGTTGACTGATGATACTTTTGAAATATTTAGAAGCAGAAAGCAAATATAAAGGACACAGATATATACTTAGTTATATATAATTCTTTTTTGAAATATTAGTTATATATAATTGATACCTAAGCAAATATATAAATTCGTTTACACAGTAAGTGTCCCAACCATTCAGTATCTCCTTTTAAAGTTTTAAACATATTGATTTATGGTGGACTATGTAATAGGATGTGGTTGTTTAAAATCAACTGAAAATAAGCAACAATAAGTGGAGAGTCCCTTATTACATTTAAATGTCCACCTTATACTAATTTAATCATTGGGGAATTTAATTTTACCACATTAACAGCAAGTCCTTGCCTTTTGGGGGGATAATTGACATACTGAAGTCTTATCAACCTCAGCAACATAATTTCTCTTTCTTTTCTTGGTTACTCTCTTTTAAGAAATTTGTTCTTTAAGAAACATCCTTTTCATCTTCTTTCCTATATCACTCACACTTTTATCCTAGAATGTGTGGTCATATGAGCTAAACGGACTTAATACAGGTGGTTTTTGGGTGGCGGATGTAGATTCATTCAAATTAAAATGCTCTTGTCTTACATCATCAAGTGCAAGAGAAAGAAAGAGAGAATAATTTTACACTTTTGAACTAAATTGTGTTCATTTGGGGCTTACAGAGGAAGATTTTTGTTACTGATTACATAGTTTCCTAGGTTGAAGAAGATGTCCATGAACAAGGAAACTGTTTCTTTCAAAATGATAGGTGATATGAATGCTAGAAGACCTTATTTTTTTGTTCTTCATTACTTATAAGATCAATTGATATCTAATTGACTTTATGTTATCTGAAGAATTTCATTTTTTGTACCCTTTAAGTTACCTTAAAAGCAATATTTGATTGTGGTCCTACAGAATCGATGTGTAAACATGATTGCAAACTTATACCATGCTCCGATTGGGGATGGTGAGACAGCAGTTGGTGTCGGGACCATTGGTTCCTCTGAGGCAATAATGCTGGCAGGATTAGCTTTTAAAAGAAAGTGGCAGCAAAAGAGAAAAGCACAAGGCAAGCCCTATGATAAGCCCAATATAGTCACAGGGGCAAATGTGCAGGTGAGGTTTTGCTTGATATTTACTGTTAAAGATACTTGAAACAGTGTCTTGCATTAATTTTGTTGCTTCTCCAATGATACACTTGCAGTAGTTTTAACCAAAATAACATAAGATGTGTTCAGGGAAATTTATATACTTGAATATGAAAATTCAAAAAACAAGGAATAGCCTAGAGGTGTTGTAAGTTTTGGAGAAAGAGAGTGTATGGCTGCTGTGATGCAGCCTCTGTTTTATACCACTAAACAGAGATGAACAAAGAGAGAAGGCCACAATGATTTTCATTCATCATTAAGAATATATACAAGGCATAAGGAAACACATAGGAAACACTTGTTAAAGGACAGATTACAAGTCTTAAACATAGCTGATATATAAGCATGCAAAGTCCCATGTAGTCTTGTTCAATATTGTCAAAGACACGTACTGATGTGCATGCTTTCTGGTGGTTTGTCACTTGGCTTCTTGTCTATTTGGGTACATACAAGCATTAGCTTCAACAAGAAGTAGGTATATATTGTCTCAAGAAAAAGTAATAAGTTCAAATCTTTCCCTCAGAAAAGAAAAGAAACATACACAGAATCAACCGAAGTATTGCTCATGCCAAACATGCCATACCCTACTATGTTCTTTGGATATGAGTGATTGGCCTTCCTAAGCACCTGATGCCATACTGGTCGTAAGGTTTAGCAATCAGAACTTTGAGAAACAATGAGCAGTGTAGAAATGGAGGTTAAATGGGGGGAGGATACAAATGCCTAGATCTTTTATGCTACCTTTCCACTTCTAATTGGTATTTGCATAGTTGGACTGGGCATTCAACCTTGCAGTGTGTGGTGCTTATAGGTTTGTCGTAAATGTCTTTAGAAATAAATTGTAAAATCTTACTGTGTAGATTCAAGCATCTATAGTTAAAGTGACTGATTTTAGAAACCCTAATGCCTGCATATCTTGCTTGGTAGTGCTCTGCATTACGTGGAGTTCCTCCATCTTTTTTCTAGATTATCAACTGTTTATATTATGATCCATTGGGATCACTGAAGCGTAGTTAGGTGGTTACTTTCATTCAAAGCATCAGTATAATACAATGAGTTTCTTAGCATGCCTTTCGTTATAATTTTGATGTTTCTATGAGAAGCTCAAAGGTTTGCTGGAATCATTAATTAGGTCAGTTTGTGAAATGATGTGAAATATTCATGAAATGTGCTGCACAGGTTTGCTGGGAGAAGTTTGCTAGATACTTCGAGGTTGAGCTGAAGGAAGTGAAGCTGAAAGAGGGATATTATGTGATGGATCCTGTAAAAGCAGTTGAAATGGTTGATGAAAATACCATTTGTGTTGCAGCCATTTTGGGATCTACCCTGACTGGGGAGTTTGAGAATGTTAAGCTCCTTCATGAACTTCTCACCAACAAGAATAAGGAGACTGGTTGGGACACCCCAATACATGTTGATGCTGCCAGTGGAGGATTCATTGCTCCTTTTGTTTACCCAGATCTTGAGTGGGATTTCCGCCTACCATTAGTAAAAAGCATCAATGTCAGTGGCCACAAGTATGGCCTTGTATATGCTGGTGTTGGTTGGGTTGTGTGGAGAACCAAGGAAGATTTGCCTGAGGAGCTTGTCTTTCACATCAACTACCTTGGATCTGACCAGCCCACTTTTACCTTAAACTTCTCTAAAGGTAATGTATTCTCTCATATATTGACACATGTATTCATTTATCCTTGTAGCTGAAATGGGCATGTGTGTGAATTAGTATAACTCTTATGCTCTACGAACAGTGAGTTTAGAATTGATTTTATTTGTTTCTAATCCAGAGGTCAGTTCTTTACTAGATTGATCCCTGAAATCTTGTTTGTTCAAAGACTGAAACTTGTCAAGTTTCATTAATCTCATAAATGATTTCAATGCATGTGAGGCTTTAAATGTTCCCAAAAGTAGGATCTATCACAGCCTTTTGGTTTTTTTT